ATGTCATATTTCAAGATGATTACTTAGATATTACAATATGGTTGGTTGAGCTGGAGTTCATTATTGAGCTTACACGTTAACGTCACAGTCATCTGAAGAACGAAACCAAACCTTGTTGTTTTTATTAATTGCATTACCAAATTGGTATCAAATAAACAGTAAGCATTGGTAACACAACTTCCAAAGTTACAGTAAAATAAAAAGGACCCTGACTCGGACAATACACAATCCAACATGTTCAACAGAAGATAATAAGTTATATTGTTTGTACACATGGTTCTTTACATATATATATCTGTTTGTTTAAATTGTGAAGGTGATGCAGACAGGCTGGACCAGAGAGTGAGAGACAGAACTGGACTCCTCACAGCAGGTGTTTATTAGTGGGTTTAGTTTGTGTGAGAAGGTGTGGCACTGCACAATCCAGTGTTGTAGTCAAGTCACCAATTCACGAGTCCAAGTCAGTCTCGAGTCACCACTCTTCGAGTCCGAGTCCAAGTCCGAGTCACCAAGGGAGAGTCGTAGTCGAGTCCGAGTCCAAGTCCGAGTCACCCAAGGAGTGTCCGAGTCGAGTCCGAGTCCGAGTCATCATTACCTGTGTTCGAGTCCGAGTCCAAGTCCGAGTCACCCAAGGAGTGTCCGAGTCGAGTCCGAGTCCGAGTCATCATTACCTGTGTTCGAGTCCGAGTCCAAGTCCGAGTCACCTAAGAAGAGTCCAAGTCAAGTCCGAGTCACAAGTCTTCATGTATTAATCTTCGTGGATATATGTGTTGAAATGTAGCTGCTCCTCTACATTGGTTTTATCCTGTCATGTTATACTAATCTGTCTATTGAACTGCTGTGAAGCCAGTTTGGCTACAATTCTTGTAATAGGTGCTATACAAATATAAAGCTTATTACTAATATTAATATTATTATTATTATATATAAATAAACTATCTTTAAAATGAGTTACCTTTTAGAGAAGTGATTATATTTGTATGCCAATATTTTCCTATGGTAAAGTTTTCGTTTTGCACTCTTATTTTGAAGGAACTTTTACCGGTTAAATCGGTTTACTGATAAAGATTTAGCCCCAGAAAGCACACGGCTACTTAGCATGCAAAATGACGTCATTCTGCATGTTAAGTAGCCGTGTGCTTTCGTGTTATCGGCTGAATCTTTATTTATTGATTAGATCACGTTACTCTGATGATAGTGTTCAAGACAGCCTATATGTCTGAACTCGATGTTTAGAGTAATATGTTACGGAGCCTTCTCTTCAATATTGTTTCCACATAGAGCATTTTGCGCTGCTCTTTTCTAATGTGGAAGCAGAATGTGTGAAAGCATACAGCACGATGCGGGGTGTGTCTCTAGACATCTTTAGACTGGAATAGCGGGGCCCAGTACGTGAACTCGCCTTGCAGCCGGTGCACACGCCAGGATAGAGGACATCAGACTCCATAGAAAACTTGCTCGAGTCCGAGTCCGAGTCCAAGTCGGAGCGTCAATGTACAAGTCGAGTCCGAGTCATCGTGGGGGGAAAAATTCACGAGTCCGAGTCCGAGTCCAAGTCAGCGTACGCGATAATTCACGAGTCCGAGTCCGAGTCCAAGTCATCGTGTGCGAGAATTCACGAGTCCGAGTCGCGTCAATCAGTGCGCGAGTCCGAGTCGAGTCACGAGTCCCGAAAATCGGCACTCGAGTCCGAGTCCAGGACTCGAGTACTCCATCTCTGGCACAATCATACCTTAATGATGACGAGCATTTTTACAAAGCTCCATTAAAGGGGACCTATCATGCAAAATGCACTTTTGTACGTCTTTTATACATGAATATGTGTCCCCGGTGTTCCAGGGAACTCACCAAGTGTCAGAAAACACAACCCTCTCTATTTTCCAATATCCAGATTTGAACACTGTCCTGACGTCAGGACGGTGGCGCTACGGCTATTGGGCCAACTCCACCAATCAGGAGGAGACAGCCACGGCCATTGCCGTTCGAAAGCGCTGGAGACGCTGTAGTACATATGCCAGGCCAGTAGATGGTGCTGTTCTCACTGAATCTGCCCTTGCAGAGCAGAGCTAAAAAAAAGTGCAAATTGAGCAAAATGAGGCATGGCTAAAATGCATGATCTGTTTGGTATTTTGAAAAGAAAAAAGTATAAATATGCCTTATATAGGTATGGTCCTACACTATATTATTCAAATATAGCATGATAGGTCCACTTTAAGTGATCTTCTATGGTACAACCATTCTCACAACTTGAGACTTTCTGATGTGTATCAACTTCACACATTTAAAAAGCCTGCACTTTGTTGCTATTCAATGGAATCATCACTGTGCTGGTTATATCTCTCACAGGCTCCGCCCTCTACTGGACTCTATGGGTACTACCTTATCATGCAAGCATTCACCTACTGAGACTTCTATAGACGTAGCCGGACCCGGGGCGGGCCTACCTGAATTTGCACGCATCTCACCGTATAAAAGGAGGCCTCGCTTCCTGACTGTCATCCCTTTCTCTTCAGCGAGCGGAAGTGAAACACTGAGCAAGAGACGTGAAAAGAGAAAGAGAAAAGCAAGTATGGAACCACTCCTTGAGCACCGAACCTGCCCGACATGCCCTGGCCTGATCGCGGGGGCTGATCCGCACCGCCTGTGCTTCCAGCTCACAGAATCAGCCCCCTGCAAAAACAGTGCTGGAGAACAGCACATAGAGCGAAATGAGGCATGGCTTAAAATCATGATCAGTTTGGTATTTTGAAAACAGAAACGTATAAATATACCTTATATAGGTATGGCCCTACAATATATCATTTAAATATAGCATGATAGGTGTCCTTTAATAGAATGAATTCTGGGGGTTGGAGCTTAGACTTTCCGACTTTCAATTTTAAGGACCATCCTACTGAGGCTAAACTTCAAGGTTGATGAGGGAGGGGTAAATGCTGTTGGAATTTGAATAAAATTCACCAGGAGTTTTCTTGACTATCATAATGAATTCCGGTGGTTGGAGCTTAAAATAAATGAATTCGAAAATGTACATGGCACTAAGGACCACCCTAAGGAGCATCTTACTCCAATAGTACAAATGTATAGAAAGAGTTCAGGCATCAGGAGTCACACCAGCTAATTCAAAGCTCATCTGGGTTAAACTGAAGTGCTATTTCATAATGAATATCAGACTGAAAGAACAACAATACGACATTAATGACAAAACTGGCAAAGTAAACAAACATCTGCTCCCTCATCAAAAAAGCACAGCAGAGGATGTTCTTCCTGAGGCAGCTGAAGAAATTCAACCTGCCAAAGACGATGATGGTGAACTTCTACACCTCCATCATCGAGTCCATCCTCACCTCCTCCATCACCATCTGGTACGCCGCAGCCACAGCCAAGGATAAGGGCAGGCTGCAGCGTGTCATCCGCTCTGCAGAGAAGGTGATCGGCTGTAATCTGCCATCCCTCCACGACCTGCACGCCTCCAGGACCCTGAGGCGGGCAGGGAAGATAGTGGCCGACCCCTCCCACCCTGGACACAAACTGTTCGCCCCCCTCCCCTTTGGCAGAAGGCTGCGCTCCATCAGGACCAAAACCTCACGCCACCTGAACAGTTTCTTCCCCTCCGCTACCAGCCTCTTAAACAAGGCCCGGCCCCCCCCGCTGACACTTTACCTCAGCCACATCATAGACTATAGACTATATGCATTACATTAATGCACACAATGTCATACTCCTTTCTGCACATATTCTGATTTCACATTTCTTAGTTTATATGCAAACATTCATTCATAGCATTCTATTTCCATGTAAATTACTGCTTTATTTAATTTTAATTTGTATTGCTATTTAACTGTATTTTATTACGATGTAAAAGATTTTGTGTTTTATATTAGATTTCTTGTTTTTTATATTTTATGTATGCACCATGACATCAAGTCAAATTCCTAGTATGTGCGAACCTAGTACCTGGCAATAAACCTGTTTCTGATTCTGATTCTGATTTTCTGAAAAAAATGTACTTTCAATATTGATCGAGCTCTAATGATTTGTCAATGCAATTACATCAAATTCTATTCAAATCCTTTTCTTCTACTAAAGCTTAGCAGAGTACAGCATACTGGGTTCTCCCTTTAAGCTTTCTTCAGAAATTGATCAAATGATATTAAATGTCCATTCCTCCAACACATCTTTGAGAAATGGCAGAGAGCCACTGCAGTCACGGGATAAATATGTTTCTTTTGTTCCATTCTGAATTAACTAAAGGCAAGACATCCCTAACATAAAGTTTCTCTGTTGTTAACATTTATGTCTACGACCCCCATTTCAATACTTTGTCAAATCATTCAAATTGGATGCTTTGAAGACAACATTATTAATCTGACTCACTGACATTATGGTGATTATATGTGTATCTTAAATTGGTGAAGATATAATTAATAAACATTGTACATGAACACTGTGAATACAGTTAACGAAGAGCAGCACATCGCTTTACAGAAGAGGAAAGACTGACACACAAATCACACATTAACAGGGGGAAGAAAAGCTATCGCTGCCGCAACAGAGTTAACAAAATAATAAAGGACAGCTCTCACCCAGGTCACAGACTGTTCTCTCTCCTGCCTTCTGGGAGAAGATACAGGAGCTTCAAGTCACGGACAAACAGACTCAAAAACAGTTTCTATCCCTGGGCCGTCAGGCTGCTTAACCACCACACATAATGCAACAACCATAACCATTCTCACACACACACTTTTAATGCACTTTATATACTATTTTTATATCAATATTTTTAACTATTTATTCCCCCGTATGATTTGTAGCCTTTATTTAACCAGGTGAAAAATCCCATTGAGATCAACGATCTCTTTTTTAAGGGAGACCTGCGGTTGTTTATGTTGTCTGTCCTATTGCCGTGTTTTTTAGTGTTCTGTATGTGTTTGTATTTTTTGCACACCGGGACAGAGTTGCACTCTGAATCTCGTTATACTCTGTGTACAATGACAATAAAAGGCTTTAACTTTTAACTTTATTGAGATTTATAAAAACTGCGACAAAATTTGAGTGTCAATAAGTATCAGTTAAAAACAGAGATACATTTGGCAAAGTGACATACAAATAAATAAGATGGATCAACAAGTGCAGACAGTTTGATCAAACATGTAAAAAGTTGACTTATATACATCTGAAAAAAAATGCAACAAAAACATTTGATATCCGGATAAAAGACAAGAGTGTATTTATATAAGAAGTTGTCCCTCCATTATGAAAATACTTGCAGATCTGCAAATTAATTCCTGAGAGAACAAAATGGAGCCAGGGAGCACGAGAACCTGAGACATTACATTTGTTAGCATTTGTCAAGTTTTTAAGGTGTGCGAAGTGTGTCATAATATTTTGGTGCCCACAGTAATCGGGTGACTTGTATGTCCCTCCTGAAACCGATGCTGGTATCCCAGCAGTACTCTGGAGAGAGAACCTTGCTGGGTTTGTGGAGCAGCATGTACTTGTTCAGATGGCTCTCATCGTGCCACAGAGCCTCCACATTGTTCCGTTTGTCTTCCATGATGCCCTGATAGCAGGCCTCGGTCAACGCTTTCACATTCTTCCACGAGCCTCCGAAGATGGCAGCGTGGTAGTAAAAATCCCCAGTTTCCATGTACGCCTTCGAGTTTGGGTTGCGGTCGTAGGTGTACAAATGCTTTGGAAGGCGGTAGTAGTGGGCGTGGAGCAGAGCCACTGAATCCCCAAGAGCCTCTGATCCAAATCTCCCAGTAAATACCTGATCCACATCAAAGCAGAAGACGTGCGTGCAGTGGTGGCGAATATCAGACTCTATCACATCTGATATGGTCTTCATTCGCATCATAGAGACGTCCTGCCACCTGGAGTTCTTCTCCACTTTGATCACCTTCATGCTTCTCAGAGGAGACAACTTGATGTTAGGCACCTTCTCTGGCATGTCCGTAAACACGTAGTAGGTCACGGGCAAACCCACCATAAAGTGTTGCTCGGATGAGTTCAGGAATGTGTGTAGGTAAGCATCAAGGTATCTTTTGAGGAAAAGGAAACAAGTCACATTTCGGTTAGACTCTTATCACTCTACCTCCAGAGGAAACTGAGGTCCATTGATGTGTGCAACAAAATGTTGCAGATCTTCTTTAGTCTGCTGCTGCAAGTAAAAACTGTTTGCTGCAATGTGCTGGGGCAGTGGTATCTGATCTGGTGACCAGAACCGACCAAACAAACAGTATGACTTTATCTGTAACTGCACTACAATTCATTTTAACACTAGATGCAGCATGTCCACTTCACATGTTTATGAGTACAGTAAAAGATATATTTTCAAAGTTAGCTATAGTAACTATAAGCACTGTTTTTTTTGGGGGGTCATTATTTTTTGTGTTTTTTTGTCATTTTTTTTACAATCTGTCCAACCATCACCTAGTTAAACATTAATGCACTAAAAATACAGTTGGCTGAGCAAGAAGTATTTAGGTTTGACGACAGATTATCTTTAGAGTTATTACTTTATTCATGTGAAAACCAACCTGCCCACAGCAAAGACTGTTAGAGCCACAGAGGATCCTTTCATCTTGTGCATCTCGTCATAGAGGCGGGGGTCAAACATCCCTTCCCAGATGATGGCAGCTTTCCAATATGTACAGGTTAGCACGTCAGGTCTGGACCTGAAATATAAAACAAATGTTTTTCTTTAGACTGAATTCCCTTTTATAATACTCTTCTTTACCAACCTGAAGCTTACTACAGGTAAGTTGTGACCTAAACACGTCATATGCATCTAAATATTTTTAGTAGTATTATTTTATATTTACAGTCAACTTAGATTCAGTTAAATTCTGTTGCACCAAAACTTTAACTAATGTCAGGTTAAACGTATAAAATAGCTACCCTTCTGATATGGATTAAGCAAAAAAACTGTTATGTGGCTCCATTTATTTGGCCAACATTTATTTATAAGTACACCTTCTTCTTAGAAAATATTTAAAAAAGGTGAAATACAAAAAACACCACTTATTTGTTGTTGCTGCTTTATGTCCAATCAGATGAAACCTGCAGCTTCTCAACATGATAGATAAATGTCTGTGTTGGTCTCAGGACTATCTGTTCAGCCAAATTGTAAAAGGGTCTTCTGGTCTTACTGGAGGTTGAGGCTGGCGTCCACACTGCTGTCCAGATTTAACATCTTTGCACTTTCCAAATGGCATTTCTCCATAGGCATGAAGCCTGTTAAAAGTCTAAAACAAAAAATAAAAACACTTGTTCATTAAGTAATGTTAGCATTTAGGCTTACAGTAATTGTTCTTGCATGTAATGTCCCCTCAATTTAAACACAGACTCACTTTACAGATGGAGGTATTAAGTAGATCGCACAGAGTGTGATGGGAACAAAGAGCACACATTTCAAAACACTCCTCATCCTCTGAAGATGTCTGCAAGAAAAGAGCCAAAAATGTCAGATTAGTCAGATTAAACAGAAATCACTGATTCTTAAAATGCAGAAGTGTGTGGCACAGTAGCTTAAACAATAAAGTAGTATTTATTTTTGTTTGTTTTTTATTTTAAAGATGTGAAATACCCCATTGTTGAAAAACGCTGGGGTCAAGGCTCAGTAGAAGGTGAACTCTCTTGTGAAAGAACGTGGCAGCAGCTGATGTTATATGTCTCACAGGCTCCGCCCTCTACTGGACTCTATGGGTACTACCTTATCATGCAAGCATTCACCTATTGAGACTTCTATAGACGTAGCCGGCCCCGGGGCGGGCCTACCTGAATGCGCGTGAATCTCACCCGTATAAAAGGAGGCCTCGCCTCCTGACTGTCATCCCTTTCTCTTCAGCGAGCGGAAGTGATACACTGAGCTTAGACGCGAATAAGAGAAAGAGAAAGAAAGCATGGACTCACCACTCCTTGAGCACCGGACTTGCCCGACATGCCTGGGGGGCAGGAGGGGAGAGCCCTCCACACTATAGTCCACGCACACTCTGCACGGGGTCAGTGTCTGAGTGTGGGGGACATGGGGCACTTGCGCTCTCCCCGGGCTCCTTAGGGACTCGGGAGAGGTGGTGCATAGTGAGCCCATACGGTGCTGCGGACTCTCTCCGTCTGCCTATGGGCGGACGGGGGGAGCCCTCAGCACTTTTTTCCGAGCACACTTTTCGCGAGGTAAGAGCGTCAGAGTGTGCTCTGTCAGCCGCAGCCCAGACTTCTCCACGATTACAACCGAGGTAGAGGTGAGTGAGGTACAGCGGCTGCTAACCAGAAAGCCGGTCAGGGGCAGTGAGGTGGAACGGTGTTGTTGGACGACAGCGCGTGTATACTGTACCCATAAGGCGCGTTCACACCGGAGTACTTTTACCCGTACTTTTCCCGTTTAGTTCCGATAGTGCCTGGAATTTTGCGTTCACACCAAAAAGAGTACTTAGTTCCGAGAACTTTTATCCCCATTTTTAGTGCCTGCTAGAGAGGTGGTACTATCCTGGGGAGAAAAAAGTACCAATTTCGATTTGCTGGGCGAATTGCAAACCACGCCCCGTAAAACTCTGAAAGGTTAGCATTAGCATTATTAGCATTAGCCCCGCGTACCAACGGAGAGAGAATAACTTATGGCAAAGCTTACAGCTTCTACTGAAGCCAGTCCCCAACTCCGGGGACTTCCGGCCGGGAACTTCGGGTGGCAGTATACGCCATGAAGTGGTTTGCGGCCTGCCAAGAAACCCAAAGCAGAAGAAGAAGAAGTGACGTCAGCGGCTTCATTTGCGTAATCTTCCCTCAGGGAACTTATTCCGGTGTGAACGCGATCTGTACTTAGTTCCATGGGGTACCAAGTGCTGGCACTAAGTGCTGGGCACTAAGTACGGCAAAGTACTTGGTGTGAAAGCGGCTATAGAGTCCAGTAGAGGGCGGAGCCTGTGAGAGATATAACGAGGGGTTATGTATGGTAACCCTTGTTATATAAGCACAGGCGGAGCCCCCTACTCGGGGCACTGTCTGTCCTATACCGCTCGCTGAAGAGAGGTGTAGGATGACAGTCCTAGGAGGGGTCTCCTTTTATACAGGTGAGATGCGCGCGCATTCAGGTAGGCCCGCCCCGGGGCCGGCTACGTCTATAGAAGTCTCAGTAGGTGAATGCTTGCATGATAAGGTAGTACCCATAGAGTCCAGTAGAGGGCTCTGCTTGTGCTTATATAACAAGGGTTACCATACACATCCCCTCGTTTCATGAATGAAACGGCACCTGTTGATATAGATGGAGAATAAAAGTGGACTTAAAACAGAACCTTGTGGTACACCATTTGTAATGTTTAACCACTCAGAAGTGAACCCATCAAAATGAACACATTAGGCGCTTTCACACCGCAGTACTTTTCCCACAAAGGTTAATCAGAACTTAGTTCATGAGAACTCTTTAGTTCTCATGAACTAAGTACAGATCGCGTTCACACCGGAATAAGTCCCTGGGGGAGGATTAGGCAAATGAAGCCGCTGACGTCACTTCTTCTTCTTCTGCTTTGGGTTTACTGGCAGGCCGCAAACTACTTCACGGCGTATACTGCCACCCGAAGTCCCCGGCCAGAAGTCCCCGGAGTTTGGGACTGGCTTCAGTAGAAGCTGCTGGGACTCCCAGGAGCTTCTACTGAAGGCTTCCGATTAAATCGCCAGAACGCCGACACCTCCTCATCTCCACCGCTCCCATGTTTTCTTTTGTGTTGCCATAAGTTAGTCTCTCTGCGTTTCTGCGCTGGGCTAATGCTTATGCTAATAATGCTAATGCGAGGATAATAAAATGGCGGCTTCACAAAAACTTTTTGGGAGTTTTACGGGGCGTGGTTTGCATTCCGCCCAGCCAATCAGACATAGGAACCTTTTTCTCCCACGAAAGTACCTGCTCTCTAGCAGGGACGGAAAAGGGGGTAAAAAGGTTCTCATGAACTAATTTTAGTTCCGGCTCTTTTTGGTGTGAACGCGACATTTCGGAACTATATCGGAACTAAAGTGGGAAAAGTACTGCGGTATGAACGCGCCTATTGGGACCTTTCAGAGAGGAAGTTCACAAACCACCCCACTGCATGGCTGGATATGCCAATACTGGCCAGCCTCTGCTTCAGGATTTGATGATCGACGGTATCGAAAGCTTTGGAAAGATCAATAAACAGAGCTGCACAGCTCTGCTTATTGTCTAAGATATCCGCAATATCATTCACCACTTTCATTGTCGCAGTGATGGTGCTATGTTGCTTTCTGAAACCTGACTGGACCAAGGTACGTTTTAACCGTTTGTTTTTTAGTTCTAATTGAAACTAATAATAAAACAGAAACGGGTCGTTTTTTGGTTTTTCAATTTTGCCCCAAAACCAAAAAACGGAAATTCAGCTCGTTTTTTCGTTTTTCTGTTCTTACTGTTAAAACAAGTATACCACTCGATTTTTCGTTTCCATATGTGGGTTGGTCTCCAGTGCCTCCTTGCTTCTGATTGGCTAGTTTGCCTATATGCTTGCGCTGTACTCTTCAAAATAAAGGTTCATACTCTTTGCCTAGACAGTGCAGTGTGTGTTGAACATATGGCTACATGCAAAACATACAGAAGACAGTCTGTCCGTGTGTGGGTGCGTATGTGTGTGCGCGTCTGTCGGCCTGTTGGTCTGTCTTGCGATCTGTCTATCTGGCTGTCTGTCTTGCACTGTCAGCCATGAATCCCTATCTTATAAAGTATGAGTATCTCTCTGTTTGATGTTACTGACACTGCTGAATTGATGCGGCCGTATTTCCCGTTTGCGTGGTCAAGTCAGCATCGAGGTTTTTTTCTTCAAATCTATATTAAAATAGCTTGGAGGTTGAGGATTGATAAATACTATTTAGAGTACTTTTACTGTGTACTCTGTCAAACTCCCCTCTTGAGTACAATAATGCAAATCTTCAGAGAATATCCTGCATAGCTGGTCTATCCTTCAGCAAAGTGACACACCCTGTCACTCTTGTTGGCCTCTTATGATGATGCTGTCTTAACCTTTAACAGCCAGCGCCACCATTTGGTAGAGCACATTTTGTGTTTTGATATCTTGTTGAAAAATAAATAAAAAAGTGTAACTCCATCTGATTCAGCCAGCTCTACCGCTTGGTTGACATGTTATGCACAAAACAACCTCTAGATGTCACTGTGGTTCGAACAGAATGCCCTTCAGCTAGCTTCCACTGAGAAAGTTGGCATGCTAAAAATCACTCCTGAAGAAATCACTCTTTTTGGTCAACTTTTGTAAGGTAACCATATCATTTTTGACATATTTTATTGTCAGAGCACTTACTGAACAGAATTATATAACTTGATGCACAAAACATTTTTGTAACAAGGGTGTAATTATTTTTTTGAAAATATGCTCAACCAACCGGTCGAATTGGCCTTCATATTGTAAACTAGCAATACGACTTTTTCAGAGTTTCAGAGATGTTTTCCAATAAAATATGGTAAATAAATGGCTAGATTCATGGTAATATTATTAAATCTAGTACTGCCTTATGAGTCTCAGAGTGAAAGAGCGATAATAATTTATATAGCACCTTTCATGCATGAAATGCAGCCCAAAGTTGCACACACATGAGCAAGTTAGGCCAACACAGGATATAGACATTTGCTGTTAGGCCAGTTGTTTGTTGTTAGGCCAAACTTTTTATAATGAAAAACACTTTCCATTACTTTTTTCCATTTCTTTTTTGTTTTACAATTATAATTTATTATGAATATATCTGTTTGTATATATTGCTCATCTTCCATCAAAGAATTTTTTTTATTTGAGTTTGTGTTTTATTTGAGTTTGATGCATACAAATACTGTACTATATGATGATTGTTGAAAATGCACTTTTGCCAAGGCCAGCTCGACCAGTTGGTAGAGGCTCATAAAAACAAAACTGTGTGGTCAGTAAAAAAAATAAAAATGGTTTGTGGTTATTTGTCCTATTTGATAAAAAAATGCAAAGAAATAATTTGTCCATAAATTTCTTCTTGGTCTGGCAATTAAAGGGTTAAAATATGATTATTTCCCTGCCCCTCGTTCGTTCCTCGCAGATTCTTCAGTCTCATCAGCCTCATCTTTCCATCTGTCCCAGTCAACGCATCAGCCTCCAGCACACTTTCAGTGTCTGACTCCATAGAGATAATGTCCTGATGCTGTACAAGGGTGATGCCCCATGATCAAAAAATGACCCCTGTAGAGTCTGAGTGCCACTGACCTCTACATGTCACTTGTTAGTTGCTTTTACCTTAAAAGGGACTTACATACACTCAATACTATGGACAATCCTCACAGGAGCTATTTGGGGTGAAGCCCAGGGACACAACGACATGTTGACTGCAGTGGGGATTGAACCAGTCCCCCCTGATCCGAAGATCAACGCACGATCAGCCACAGCCTCCCTAGCCATATTATGTTTGTCAT